TTGCATGTAGCAAGGGCAAAAAATCTGGAGGTTTTTGGAAGGAAAAGATGATGTGGCAGGGTTATCTAGAGTTAAGAGAATTTGGGGGCTGTTGTGTAAAAAAAAAAAAAAATTGTTTTATATAAATTTGGGCTACTCCCCCAAATGAAGAAGAAGAAAGTTGAGTGAAGGAAAAGAAGAGAGAGAGAAGTAAGGAAATGAGGGAGAGAAAGGGAGGTAAGTATCGGCCAAGTAAACATGAAGGGAGATCACACGAATTTTTGCAGAAATTGTATCATGCATGTAGTTTTTAGAGTGAGTCATCTCACCATTTTCTTCGATTTGTGTAATTCTAATTCAATTTTGTCAAATTGGGTTGTTAGGTGGAGAAGAGAGGGGTGATGCTTGAGGTAGCTGGGCATTTTGGGTTGAGCTGAAATTTTTGTGAGTGGATTTCCAAATACTTGTTTTAAAAACTCAATTTCATTTGCATGTCAAGTGATGAATTTCAATTAAAATGTTTGGTGCAAAAATTGTTAGTTAATTGTGATATTTGCTAAATCCCACTTTGCATGTTTCGGCTGAATTAATTGTTGGATGCTTTTGCACTAGATTTGGTTCTAAAGTATGTGATTATATGCTGCATGTTACATGTATATTTATATACTGTTCACATGGAATTAAATGATGGTGAAAATGCTTGTAAGAGGTGTTGGTTGTGTTTGGCTGCTGGAATCTTTTTGTAAGCATGAAATTTTGCTAGTTTATGTTGAATTTGAGTTTAAAATTTGCTATATGGTGTTTGGCTGGGTATATTTCTTTGTTTGATTGTGCTATGTTTTGAAATTTGGTTGTTTATGTGAAAATTTATGGTTATGGGGTTGCTTTACTATGNGATTTCCAGGGTATTTTTTTTAGATACTTGCATACAAGTTTTTATTAAGAAAGAAGTTTAATTGCATACATGAGTCTTGTTGTTTTAAAAAAAGAAAATATTTGTTACATTTTGTAGATATCAGCATGAGTCAACGTGCCAACCTCGCATGAGACCCCTGAGGGAATTTTTAGTTCCTAGAATGCTTAGGGGGTTGAGTGAGCCTAAGGAAGAGGAAATAGAAGGGTCGGGTACCCACAAATCAGGACCTCAGGAAGAATCAGATGCCGATGATCAAAATGTTGGGGAAGGACCAGTGGGTGAACCAAATGTAGGGTTCCAAGGTGATAAGGGTAACATGGAGCAGACTATGGATAGGCTAACTCAATTGATGACTAGAGTAGTACAAAATGGAATGCCTGGGCGTCAAGGAGAAGGAAAAACTATAGGGAGAGCAAGAAAGTTAGGGGCAACAAACTTTGAGGGGTTGGGAGATCCCACAGATGTCAATTCACGGATGGATCAATTAGAGCAAGTGTTTGGGATGATAGAGTGCACCAATGACCAGAAACTACGGTTTGCTATCTTCCTACTAAAAGGTAGGGCTCGTCATTGGTAGAGATCAGTGCAACCTAGATATGGGGATCCAACAACAATTACTTGGGCTAATTTTCGTCAGGAGTTCTTTGATCATTATTTTCCCAATGTATCAATATACTAAGCAAAGTAAGTTTATCAGATTAACATAGGGAAATATGTCAGTAGAGGAATATTTGATTAAGTTTACTGAGTTATCCTGTTTTGCCTGGTTTATAGTTGAAGATGAGAGAGCAAAATGTAGGAGATTTGAGGAGGGCCTTAGGGGTAGCATCAGAACAGTGGTGGCCTCACACTACCACTCAGAGTTTGGGAAATTGACAGAGGCAGCTATGAGAGTTGAGAGTACTTTGGGAGAGTTTGATAAGAGAGAAACACAAAGACAGGAGCGTAATGACCGTGAGTTGGATGATGCTTGAGGCAACTGGGCATTTTGGGTTGAGCTAAAATTTTTGTGAGTGGATTTCCAAATACTTGTATTTAAAAACTCAATTTCATTTGCATGTCAAGTGATGAATTTCTATTAAAATGTTTGGTGTAAAAATTGTTAGTTAATTGTGATATTTGCTAAATCCCACTTTGCATGTTTTGGCTAAATTAATTGTTGGATGATTTTGCACTAGATTTGGTTCTAAAGTATGTGTTACATGCTACATGTTACATGTATATTTATGTATTGTTCACATGGAATTAAATGATGGTGAAAATGCTTGTAAGAGGTGTTGGTTGTGTTTGGCTACTGGAATCTTTTGTAAACATGAAATTTTGCTAGTTTATGCTGCTGCATGTTGAATTTGAGTTTAAAATTTGCTATATGGTGTTTGGCTGAGTATATTTCTTTGTCTGATTGTGCTATGTTTTGAAATTTGGTTGTTTATGTGAAAATTTATGATTATGGGGTTGCTTTACTATGACTGAATGCATAAAAAGAAGTAGACGAAGTGAACATGAAATGGAGGTGATTTATTTTGCTGCATGTGGCTTCTATTCATGATTTATTTGTGTTTTCAATTGTGATGTTTGCTGGCTGCATTTTTGGCCGATTAAAGCAAATGGAGGCTGGGATTATATGCGTATTGAGATATTTAGTGCTCTACCTAGGCGTTGAGTTTGTCCGCCAGGTATTGATGAGATGGTTTTCTTCAGGCTATGCCCACACGATGATAGATCTTGTCGGGTATTGAGATGTTTTTTCCGAGCTCTACCTGTGTGTGGAACGCCCACTAGGTATCGAGATTTTTCCCCAGGGTACTAGTCATGGTAAGAACCTTCAGTATTAGTTTCTGTTTCGGAGCAGGACATCAGTTTATAGTTTTTAGATACTAGCCTATAGTTTTTTGTATCAGTTAATAGTTTCAGTAATAGTATCAGAATCAACTTTCAATTTTAGAATGTTCAACATTAGATTCAGTTTTCAATATCAGAATAGTTATGGATAATTTGCGTTAGTTATATGAAACATTCGATGTTTGTAGCATGATTTATAGAAAAACATTGTTTTCAAAAGCATAAGCATTTACAGCTATACTTTTAAGTTTTCATAAAAAAGTTTTTAGCATTTAGTGATAAGCTGGGATTTAGAAATTGTTCTCAGTTTAAATGATCAGATTACAGTACTTAGAACAATTAGAAACAAGTTATGCATGCATACATGAATGATTAGTTGCTTTCATAACATGTTCATAGAATCATGTTGTTTTCAAAATTTCATAACAACTATTGCATGTCATAACTATTGTTGAAGATATGTTTTGCAAACTCCCTTTTTTCCCCCACTCACTGAGTATTTTAGCTCACCCCTTTTCAAAACATGTTTTCCTCCTCCCCCCAGGCTTACAGGGAGATCGTGCCGAGTAGTGAGTCACCGCTGAAGGTTGTGCCACACATCAACGTCTTCTCATGTGTGTATTATGGCTTATATTCCAAAAATGGACTTCTGTTTTCTATAATAGTCTTATGTTTTTGCAGTAATTACACAAGACTTGATATTTTGTTTCTAGATTTTTCATGGATTATGCATTTATGTTTTCCAAACTTTCCTAAATATNTTTTGAATATTATGTCATATATGCATGATTTATAAGCACTTATATAATATGCTCCTGACTTATATGTTACTTGAGATTATGAATGAGATATTTGTGGTGCTACAACCACCCTACGAAGTACCCATCCCCCAGTTTCAGGCTCTGCCCATGTGATGCAGAATTTACTGGGTATTGAGATATTCGGTCTTCAGGCTCTGCGCATGCGTATTGAGATATTTAGTGCTTTGCCTGGGCGTTGAGTTTGTCCGTCAGGTATTGAGATGGTTTTCTTCAGGCTCTGCCCGCACAATGATAGATCTTGTCGGGTATTGAGATGTTTTTCCCAGCCCTGCCTGTGTGTGGGATGCCCACCAGGTATCGAGATTTTTCCCCAGGGTACTAGTTGTGGTGAGAACCTTTAGTATCAGTTTACTGTTTTGGAACAGGATATCGGTTTAAAGTTTTTAGATACCAGCCTACAGTTTTCAGTATCAATTAATAGTTTCAGTTTTCAGTATCTGATGGTTAATTTACATTAGCTATATGAAACATTCGATGTTTGTAGCATTATTTATAGAAAACATTGTCTTTAGAAGCATAAGCATTTACAGCTATTCTTTAAGTTCTCGTAAAAGAGTTTTCAGCATTTAGTGATGAGCTAGGATTCAGAAATTGTTGTCAGTTTAATTGATCAGATTACAATACTTAGAACAATTAGAAATGAGTTATGCATGTATACATGAATGATTAGCTGCCACCATATCATGTTCATAGAATCATGTTGTTTTCAGTAATTCATAAGAACCATTGCATGCCATAACTTTTGTTTGATGAATGTTTTGCAAACTTCCCCTTTCCCCCACTCAATGAGTATTTCAGCTCACCCCTTTTCAAAAAATGTTTTCCTCCCCCCAGGTTTACAGGGAGATCGTGCCAAGCATCGACGTCTTCTCATGTGTGTATTATGGCTTATATTCCAAAAATGGACTTCTGTTTTCTATAATAGTCTTATGTTTTTGCTATAATTACACAAGACTTGATATTTTGTTTCTAGATTTTTTGTGGATTATGCATTTACGTTTTCCAAACTTCCTAAATATGTTTATGTACTTATTCATACTTGTATTTCTAATTACATTTTTGTACGGATTATTTATGCATGGTATATTCTAGAAAGCACAATTTCAGGTTTCACAGTTTTCCCACACGACACATCTCGGTCATCCAAGTCTTGTGGGAGTGCCCGGATCCTATGGGATGAGGAAGGTCGGGATGGGTCGTGTCATTAGATGATGCGAGATTGCTTTTTGATGAGATGTGTGGAGGAGGACTGGTCCCAAATGATGTTACTATATTATCTTGATTGATGGGCATTGCAAGAATGGGAGGTTGACTTGGCCATGGATATTTATCAGCAAATTTTGAGGAGAGGTTTGAAGCCTGATTTGATAATGTATAATACGCTCATCAGTGGCCTTTCCAAGAATGGGAATTTAAAGGGAGCAAAGTAAGTAATTGATGAGATGTATGCAAGGGGTTTTAAGCCTGACAAAGTTACATATGCAACGCTCAGAGTTGGTTTCTGCAAGGAGGGTGATTTAGAATCAGCCTTTGGTGTTAGGAAAGAAATGATTGAAAGAGGGATCAAGCTTGACAATGTAGCCTTCACAGCTCTTATATCAGGACTTTGTCGAGACGGGAATGTAACAGAGGCTGAAAGAACATTGAGGGAGATGCTCAAAGAAGGATTGAAACGGGATGATGCTACATATACTATGGTCATTGATGGATTTTGCAAACTGGGGAATGTTAAGATGGGTTTTAAGTTGCTGAAGGAGATGCAGTGTGATGGGCATGTACCAAGTGTGGTAACCTATAATGTGCTAATGAATGGGCTCTGCAAACAGGGGCAGCTTAAAAATGCTAATATGCTCTTGGATGCTATGCTTAATCTAGGGGTGGTTCCAGGTGACATTAAATTAACATTCTATTAGAGGGTCGTTGCAAGCATGGAAACTCAGAAGATTTTGATAAACTACGCAGTGAGAAGGGGCTTGTATTGGATTATGCTTCTTATACCTCACTTGTCAATAAAACATTGAAAGATCGGCAGAATAGATGATTGTATTGTGTCTTAAACCAGTTGTTGGTTGTGCCATTGGGAAAAAAATTTGAAAAAAATGTTGTACTAACCGGTTTTCTGTTCTGAGTTTGCAGGAACAGAAAGAGAGGATGTTAATCCGAGTATCTGTTTTGAATTTTTAGAGACCGAAGGGAAGAGGTTAGACAAGCTTTGGAGTTGTGGAAGCTGTGTTAGAACAGAATGAAGGCTTTGATATCATGTCAGAGTTTGAAGAAGAAGAGAAGGCAAGAGAATCAGGAAGATACTGCCAGGTGATTGCCAACAAAGAGAAAGAGTTTCAGAAGTATTTTCTGTGTATTTGTATTGAGTATTACACTTTGTACATAACCCTATTTATACAAAAAAAATGTAAATATAAGTAAGGAAATACAATTATGTGATTGAATGTGATAAGAAGGATTCTTAGAAGTGATTTGTGTAATTGAAGATTGGATGAGATTGAGCCTTGATTCCAGCATTTCATCATGGCTTGATTCTAGCATTCCATATTTCATCACAATTAGATAGTGATACTGGAGATATGAGCTTAACCACAAAAAATTCGTCACCTAAAACCGTGAATTCATCGCTAAATGTCTTGGCAAATCATTTTCTTGTAGTGATTGCGAATGAAGATCTACCCTGTTAATATCAAGATTTCAAACAATACTTTGACTCAACTCACAACTATGCACCAGAATTTTCAAGATCAATTTTCCAAGTAACGAGAAGTTGGAAGGCCATCAGTTGTCACATTTTCACCATCTTTCATGCTAATTTTCTCCTATTTTTTCTTTTTCCAGTCCAGACAAGACCAAAAATATTTTTCTAATATTTTTTATATTTTGAATAATTTAATTTATAATTTTCTATTTTAAATATAAGGTCTTTTGTTTTTCCCTTCTCTGAGTTAATTTTAACACCAAAAATAGATGGTAGGGGAGAAGCGGCTAATCATAGGGGGTAAATTTTTTTTTTTTTTCAATGTTAAAGGCAGTAAGTGAAAAAATCTCTATAGAACTTAACGGAAGTTAAGGAATGAGGTGTTGTATTAACCTAATAATCTTTTTTATGTATGTGAAATGTTGAAAACTCAAGGGATATCAGTGTAATTAACTCATAAATAAATAATTAAGAGATAGTGGTTATATCCAAAATCAATTCATCTCTTTTAAAAAAAAAAAAAAAAAAAATCCGGAATTTATCTTTCTGCAAATTTAAACTTTTAAACCACCCTGGTAGGAGTGAATGATGGATTGAAGAGTTAAAGACCAAGGAAGTCTTGGGTTAAGTTATAGCAAGGCAAGGGGTGGCCACAGTTACCAAACCTTGCGTTTCCCATTAAAATAAGATAAGATTTTCTATTAATTATAAATAATGAATATAACAGAATCTAGAGATCGTCATTGTCATTAGCTCACCATATATTTCTTTTAAGAAATCAATTATCAACTACAAAATGAAGCATTATATATATATATACTACACCCACTATGTTTATTGTTTGATAAATGGGAGATGTGGATTTTCGGTGGGACTCTCTATCCACATGTGTGCCGAAAGGTGAACTTCCTTAATTAGGTTTGTTTTTTATTTTAATTAAGTATATGGAATGATTTTATTTGGATAGTTGAAAATGACATATCATCCTTATGTTTTGGACTTTCTCATATTAATATTATGAAAGCAACATTTCCTTAGTTTTGAAACTTTTGTTGGCATATAGTCTAGTGATCATGGTGTTTAATTTTGTCTTTTTCAATTCATAAAATTATGCCACTTTATGGGACATTTATCTTTTCCAATACAACCAATAATTAAGATTATTTGTTTTTAAATTACTATAAATGCCATCATTTTGGGTTTTCGTATTCATGCCTCTTATGACCATAATTGATAAGGTTTTATCTTATTGTGTGATATCAAATGTCAAAATATTTAAACATTCACAAAGTTTAGTGATATCATTGATTTAAATAATTTATTTTTATTTTTAAATGAATGGTATATTACAATAATATGTTATGATGAGAACTCACCCAATATAAAAAGCAACGTAGAAGGTGATGTCTATTAAGTAAACCGCCTTTAATTCTTGATTCTAATCTCACATCTCTGCCTGTAAATTAAATGCATCACCTCTTTTGTTATCAGCTACCAGACATAAACAATAAAACACAAAAACAATCCCTCTCTCTAATAACTCGCTTCATTGTTTTCTCTTGATCAGTTTCTTTCTTCTTATACTTTTCATTTGAAAGGATACACAAGATTAACGTAGCAATAAGAACGTTGTGATAACAAACATGGCCACGGAGGTTTCGTGCTTTATTTGCTTTCAGGTTTCTCGTTGGCAGTTCTCTCTGCGTATTTCTCATCAACAAGAACTCCCGCATTATATTAACTCTCTAAAACTACTCCATTATTAAGGTTTAGAAAACTCCCGCATTATATGCTCTTTAAGACTAGCTTTTACTTCATATACAACAATATATTTCTGGGTTAAAGTTTATCACCTTTTTCTACTTTCTGCAATTAAACCAAAAAAGATGATTATATCTTCATGAAACCTTTATTTCTTGTGTGTTTTGTAAGATTGTTGATCTTTTTGGGTTAAACTCTCATGATGCGCCTCCTCCTTTTTTCTTAATATATTTTTCTTCTTCTCATATTTGCTGACAATCACGTGAAAATGTTGAAGACTAATCACATTAGTACGGCGTTTCAATATAGAGGGCCATCTATTATAACTTAAGAGCTTAAGAGCTTTTTCTCCGAAAGCGCTTTTGCTTCGAAACGTTTTTTTGTGATATAATATAAGTTTGACTGCTATGGATAATCATTTACTATTAAAGGATCTCTAAACACGATTAATTATAATTTAATGTAAATATAATATAATTAAGCTGCATATGGGTCACATGATTTTACACCATCTCCTGAGTCTGTGGCGGCGTCCCAGTCGGAAGAGACACAATCAGAGCCATCGAATACCTGAACTTTGATCTGTAGTTCAACGACGGAGCGGCTTTCTTTCGGTGTTCGGCTTGGTCAGCGCAACGAAAGAGGAGTAAAATGGGATAAGTTTGAGGAGAAAGACAACGAGAAGTAAGAGAGAAAGAAAAGAGAGAAATATTGTTCATGTTTAACCTAGGTTTGATAGTTTCTTGAGTCGTGAACGAAAGAAAGGCCGTTAAGAAGAAGAAGAAAAGTATGATTTTGAGAGTCATGGTGACAGCAGTGGTGGTGGTAGTGGTGAAGGTGGTTTTAAGAGTCGCGGTGTGGTGGTTTTGAGGGTCGTGGTGGGGTGGTTTTGAGAGCCATAGCGACAGCAATGGTGTGGAGCGTGGATGAGTTATGAAGTAATGACGACAGGAAGACAGGCTGTATTTATGGGGAATTTGGCTGATATTGTTCTTGTTTAATTAGGTTTGATAGTTTCTTGAATCCAGTACGAAAGAAAGGCGCTAAGATGAGGACGAAGAGCATGAGTTTGACAGTCGTGGTGACAGAAGTGGTGGTGATGATGGTGGCGGTGAAGGTGAAGGTGGTTTTGAGAGTGGGTGTTGGCGGTTTTGAGAGTCGTGGTGGTGGTGGTTTTGAGAGCCATGGTGACGGCTGGTTGTGAAGTGTGGATGAGTTGTGAAGTGTGAAAGACGGGCTGTATTTATAAAGGAATTGACGGATGACGCGATTCATTCCTGTCCTTACATGTGCAGGAGAGCATGGACTGAACTCTGTACGAAAACTTTTGGAAACTTGGTTCTGAAGCGGTTGGCTGATTACTTGCACCTATCCAAAGTTTGCCATTAAGACAAGTGATATTCAAAAGGTTTGGAAATGACAAACTATATTTTCTCCAAAGTGGTTCTGTTAGCCTTCTGGGTACAAATTTATCTTTACAACAAGCTTTAGGTAGGTGTGTTGTTTCCCCTACGCGGTTTGGCCGGGGCGGGGGGTGGTTAAAAACACGACAGTGCCATTTCTTTTTCTTATAATTTAAAAGGAAAATAAATTGATGTGTTGGACCAATTAATTGACTACATGAGTCCTCAATTCATAGTTAGATAAATAATGTTAACTGTTTATGGCAATCAATAAAAACATTGATTCTATTAGCTGAGGTCATACTCAAAACCCTAATTCCGAGTCTACTACTCCAGTCATTTGTCAAATTTATAAAATAAATGCACAACCTAAGAGATTAAACCTAGTTTTACAAGGATTCCTATTCCTAAACCCAACCCAAAAAGGAATTAATAACTTAAAAGAAATCTTATAGCGGGACCCCCGAGTGCATCTTCGTTACCCATTAATGCTGAAGTAGTCGACAACTCCAACAATTTTCATGTATACACAAAACAATATATCACATATTTGGTATTGCTTTTTTTTTTTTAATTTAAAAAAAAAAGAATAATATATCATCAAAACTTTTTCCATTATTTGATTCGTTGCTACTCCTTTTGTCATTTTCATGTAAAAACTACAGTGCCATTTCTTTTTCTTATAATTTAAAAAGAAAAATAAATTGATGTGTTGGACTAATACATTGACTACATGAGTCCTCATAGTTAAATAATGCTAATTGTTTATAGCAATAAATAAAACAGTGATTTTATAAATAAATACATAATCAAAGGAATGAGTGACATTTGATTTTTATTTATTTCTCATTTTCTGTGAAAAAATAAAAAAAATGTAGAAAGGTAAAGTATTTTTGGAGAGTGTGTAGACCAAGTAGTCATCAGTCAATGAGATAAAAAAAATAAAAACTCACTGACAGATGACTACCAAGTAGTCAAGAATGCCCTTCAGTACTCAAGTACTGTACCCAGTGTAGACTTGATTATTGCTAGTCTTAAGGCTAGGGAATTAGAGCTTAAAACCCTTAAAAGAAATAATAGTACACTGTTTGTAAATGTTAGAATAGAATTTGGCCAATCTAGTAAAGGAAACCAATCTATTCATGGGGATAAGAATAAGAAGAAGTGGAAAGGAAATAGTAAGGCTAAGGCAGAAACAAGAAAGTGCTTTTACTGTAATAAAATAGGTCATTTAAAGAAAAACTGTTTTGACTGGAAGAAGAAACAGAAATTAGGAAACACTGAGAACAATTTGGCTACCACTAATAACCTGATAGATGAACCGAAAGTTCTTACAGTGTCAACATCTCACACTGCTAAGGAATGGGTGTTAGATTCTTGTTGCACTTTTCATATGAGCCCAAATAGGAGCTGATTTCAAGAATTTGAAACTTCTGATCATGAGACAGTATTAATGGGAAATAATCAAGCCTGTAGAGTTAAGGGAATGGACAGCATAACACTAAGGTTAAGTGGGGGTAAACTGATTAAATTGACCAAAGTTAGGTATATCCCTGATCTTAAGAGAAACCTCATATTCTTAGGAATTCTAGATGAAGCAGGATGCTACTATAGCGCTGACAATGGTTGGTTAAATGTCTACAAAAAAGAAAAGTTGGTTTTAACAGGAGAAAAGAAAAATGGTCTCTATATTCTCTGTGGAAGTTTCTATCCTGAATGCAATAATACTACACTTGTTCTTCAAATTTATCTGTGACTGAAAAGTGGCATTTGAGGATGGGTCATATGAGTCAAAGGGGGATGGATGATCTAAATAGACAAGGGAAGTTTGGGAAAGACACTATTACTACCTTAGAATTTTGTGAGAACTGTGTCCTAGGTAAACAACATAGAAACAACTTCCCTAAAGGAACTCACTTAGCTACAAATTGCCTTGATTACTTACATTCTAACTTATGGGAACCTGAAAAAGTAAAATCACATAGAGGAAACAGTTATTTCCTCTCTATTGTAGATGATTACAGTAGGAAAGTATGGGTTTACCTACTAAAGTCAAAGGATCAAGCCTTAGCTAGGTTTAAAGATTGGAAAGTGCTAGTTGAAAACCAGGTTGGTAGAAGGGTTAAGGCTTTTAGGACTGACAATGGGCTTGAGTTCTGTAACCTGGAGTTTGATAGATTCTGTAGTGAACAGGGGATCTTGAGGCATAGAACAGTGAGAAACACACCTCAGCAAAATGGGGTAGCTGAGAAAATGAATAGAACTCTGTCAGACAAGGTTAGGTGCTTATTGATCACCTCAAATCTTCCAAAAACCTTCTGGGGAGAGGCCTTCACTATAGCTGCTTACCTAGTAAATAGGAGTCCTTTTACAACCATAGGATTAATTTGTCTAGAAGAGAGGTGGTCAGGGAGAAAACCAAAGTTAGGCCATCTCAGAGTGTTTGGGTGTATAACTTATGCACATACACAAAGAGGCAAACTAGAACCTAGATCCAATAAGTGTGTGTTCCTAGGATATCAAAAGAGCACAAAAGGGTACAAGTTGTGGGATAAAGAGTCTCCAGGGGTTAGAATCATAGTGAGCAGGGATGTCGTATTTAATGAGGGAGTCTTCCCTTGCAAAGAGACTAACCTTGATATAGGCACATCCAAGAGTACAGAAACAACAACTATTCAACCTAGTGCTACTCAAATTGAGGTGGACCCTACAACTCAGCAACCTGATCCACTTCAAGTGGAAGCATCGCAGCAACCTGGAGGTGAAGTAGAACTTGGTGAACCTGATCAAGTTGTAGATGATGAAGCTGAAGAGTTCCTAGAACCATAACAGGATGAACTAGGGAATTATTAGCTGGCCAGAGATAGAACAAGGAGAGAGGTAAGACCACCTTCAAGATATTCATATGCTAAATTGATTTATACTGCCCTCCTTGCAGGTACGAAAGTGCTAAGGTCTGAACTTGAGACTTTCCAAGAGGCCATGGAGTCCAGAGATAGGGACAAATAGAGAGCAGCCATGGAGGAGGAAATGCAATCCCTAAAGGTAAATGACACATGGTCCCTGGTTCCAAAACTAAGAGACCAGAAACTAACCTAATGTAAGTGGTTCTTTAAACTAAAAGATGGCATTTCTATAGCGATCCCCCTAGGTATAAAGCGAGACTTGTTACAAAAGGTATACCCAAAGGGAGGGAATAAACTTCAATGAAGTCTTCTCCCCTGTGGTTAAATACAAGACAATCAGAATGATGTTATTGTTGTAGCCCACCAAGACCTGGAACTTGAGCAATTGGATATCACCATTGCCTTTTTGCATGGAAACCTAGAGGAATAGATTTATATGAGGTAGCCAATGGGTTTTGTTGTCCCTAATGCTCTAGACCATGCCTGTCTCTTTAAAAAATCTCTATATGGCTTAAAACAGTCCCCTTGACAGTGGTACAAGAGGTTTGATACCTTCATAGTGAGTATAGGGTTCATTAGAAGTAAATATGATAGTTGCTTCTACTTCAAAATGACTAATGACATGCCTATATACTTACTATTATGTGTTGATGATATGTTGCTGATAAGTAAGTCTAAATCCCTAATTAGTGATCTAAAGAAGAAACTCAATTCTGAGTTTAGCATGAAAAACTTAGGGTGTGCCAAGAAAATACTAGGTATGGTGATAAATAGGGATAGAAGAAAGTGTGAACTAAGGCTGCACCAACAATCATACTTGTTGAAGTTAGTTTCAAAGTTTGGCATGGCCGGTGCCAAACTGGTCTCAATGCCCTTGGCAAGTCATTTTGTACTCAGTAAATCCCAATGCCCCAAGACTGAGGCAGACTTGTTGAAAATGGAGTCTGTCCCTTATGCAAATGTTGTAGGGTCCTTAATGTATGCAATGATAAGTACTAGGCCTGATTTAGCATTTGTCATTTCTAAGTAGGCACATGTCTAACCATGGTATGGAGCACTAGACAACCTTGAAATGGATGTTAAAAATACATAAATAGTTCATTGTGTGTTGGACTTGAATATTGTAAAAGGAATTCTTCACTTGATCTTGTTGGTTTTGTAGATGTTGATTTTGCAGGGGACAAAGATACTAGAAAATCAACCACAACCTACTTCTTCACATTGGGTGGAAACATTATAAGTTGGAAGTCCCAATTGCAGCCAATTGTGGCCCTTTCCTCAACTGAATCCGAGTATATTGCAGTGACTGATGTGTTTAAAAAAGCTTTGTGGCTAAAGGGAATTTTGACAGAAGCCAACATAATCAGTGGGAAGGTAACAGTTTACTCTGATAGCCAGAGTGCTGTACATCTGAGTAAAAACCCAGTGTACCATGAAAGTACTAAGCATGTGGATGTCCGCTATCACTTTGTGAGAGACCTAATTACTATAGGAGTTATTGAGCTAAGGAAAGTTGTTACAGAAGAGAACCCAGCAGACATGGGCACCAAAATAGTCACTTCAGTGAAATTCAAGCATTGCTTGAACTTGCTGTTTGTAAAATAATTTGGAGTGACTGGAGCTATAAGGGAATGGGACTGAGCAAACTGCACTAATGTACTGTTTTCAAGTGCTTCCAAGGTGGAGATTATTGAAGTGGAAGCTTGAAAACGGTGTAGTATTGGGTTAAGTCGAATGGCGTCATTTTATGGAAGTGATTAAGTGAATCCAAACCACATATTATTCTTCAGATCAATGGCCATCATTCAGCCTCCAAGTCAACCATATATAAACCCAGTTTTTTCCCAAATGAATGCATTCGACTCTGTTCTCTCCAATATTCGATTGAGAAGCTA